CAAGAAAGAAAATTATAAAAAAACGTAAAAATCAAAACAAATAAAAAAACAAATAAAAACAAATGCACAAGCGCATCAGAACAAGAAAGAAATTATTTTTGTAAAATCAAAAATAAGCTTTCTCATCCCCCCATCTAATTATTTGGTTTACATATATACACAATACGTACTATGTACATACATACATAAAATACGTACGTATATATACGTAATGTGGGAAAGTCGATCGAGCAATAAACACAGGTTTCTCTACTCAAATTTCATTAAAAATTTGTTTAAGTATGGTTTTTAACTTTTAACGATTTTTTCAGCTTTTTCAAACGTGGAGTTGGTCGGTTTTAAAACGTGACGCGTAGTTGGTTGTACCTTACCTTTACCATACTTAACAAAAAAAAAAATAAAGAAAAAGAAAAGCGAAAAGAAATAAGAAAAGAAAGAGTGGTTAAAGAGAATAAAGAAAAAAAAGTAACTATTTTATGTATTACTTAAATCGTGATGACTGATGAGTCATGGATCATGATTAATTGACTATAATGAGTAAGATATAAATAATATAATAGACAAAATACAAATATTCCCACGTCATTATATTCATGACGACATGACGTCATATTTAGATAATATAATAATATTTCAGTATTTACATACTTTGAAAAATGGTTTATCAAACTACTATGTTGTGTCACGTGAAGGGTAAAATAACACAAATGGCGCAGTAATTTATTAATCAAAATAGTTTAACTACATATAACTACATATAATATTAAAACGTTATGCCATCCTTAGTATGTAAAAGTTCTTTAAAAGATAATCGATATAACTGAATAAAATATTAATTTATATATTCTTAAATTATTTCATAATTATTGAATAATCAAGAAAAAATAATACTTTTCTAAGTCAGTCATGGTTATAACTGATAACTTTTTTGAAGAAAAAATGAAATTTCTAAAGTACGATGGAAATATTCATATTCATCCAAATAAATGGATAAAATATTGTTTTCTTAAAATTGCAAAAATGATGATCGATCCTGACTAGACGAAAATAGACGAAAATTCATATGGCTTGACGTATCAAATTTTCGAACTTGTTAATGTATTAAAAAAATAAATTTCATTACTTTTATTGCGCTTACGAATTCTTTTAATTAACAGTACTTTTTATCTCCTTTGTTTACTCTTCTAATTTATTTAAAACATTATTAACTAAATTTATTAGAGGAAGTTAGTGACTTATTAACTGGCATTTCTGCTTTCATATCGTTATATATAGTACGTAAAAAAATCAAAACTTGAAAACACACAAGTGCATATGTACCAAGTTTATACGGCGAATGGCGTGATACTAAAAAAAGTTTATGTAACCATAAAGTTTCAAATACCTGCACGGCTGCACCCCTAAATAGAAAATAAAAGTTGTATGACAAACCAAAAGGCTATATCAAATTAACTGTAATTCTATTATTTATCGATAAATGCAACTTTCTCTTTAAATGCACCCTTGTGTTCGGTCTCAAAGGGCGGTGTTAGTTGTTCGTCGGTCACGTGATCATCGCCGTTTTCCGAACTTTGATTCTGTTGTTGTGAATAAAATTTGTCAGTTCATGTTCATTAGGTCGTAATTCAAGTTTCTTTGTTTCTGTTGAAGTATCCGAGTCTTTAGGAGCAGAAGTCCAATTTTCTGAGATATAATTTGCCAAATGGTGCTATATGTTTGTCTTGAGAGAACAAACTCCCTGTTGATATTTCCTTAAAGAAGTTTTCGAATGGAAAATTTATTTTCACCCGTTTTCTTCGCACGTCATACATCTGATTTTTTTTAAATATAATTAATATAATATAACAAGTATGTATCTGTCTGTATTGAAGGATTGTATACTTACGAAAAACGTTTAATTACTGAGGATAATCAACAATTCGTTAAGTAATATAACAAATTATTCAAAATTGACCATCTGCATAACATATACATAAATTTTATTCAACATTAATTTTTAAAAAATTTGTATTTGTACATTATTACCTAATTATTTACAATTATGTTATAATAAAACAAAAGAAACTATTATTATAAATCTGAAGCGAAAAATGCTATTATTTAATTATGTCAACCTGACAAGAATAAATATATTTTATAGTTAATTTTAAAATAATTTGACATGACCGGTGAGGTCATTGATCTTTCGTTTCGGTCAAAATTAGAGGGAGCGGTATTTATTTAGTTTACCTCTTGTTTTACGGGTCTTCATTTCACCGACAATCATTTCGCCATTTTACCGAAAGTTATTTCGCCGAAATTTTATCTTAACCTTATCCTAACTCTATTAACGATGATTCGGTGAAACATTTGTCCGCGAAATGACCCTGTCAATGAAACGTCTGTCAATGAGATAATTGTCGGAGAAGGGCCTGTTTCCCGATTGGCTAAACATAATCTACTTATGACATTTTTGGCAAATTAATACCGATAAATACAAATAATAATCGGGCGAATTTTTGATATAACGAATTTTTATGATACAACAAATCTTTAGTGTGGTACCGATTCTACATAGGCGCACCTGCCACAAAAATGTGGCACACTTTATGAAAAAATTCTCGTTATACGAGATAACCCGTTGATTTTCATGAAATTTTTCTCAAATAAGCAAATTTATTACTACTATAATCTATTTTATCAAAAGATGGATGATTCATGTTTCGCCTCATGACGTTTTACAAATATATAGATTTCCTATATTTTACCGCATTATACCAAATTTTCCCACTATAGTGATTTCATACCGAATTTTCTCGTAAAAAACTTTTAATATGTAGTGCAAAGTATGGCAGAGCATCATGTTTTTTTATTTATTTATTTTGACTTGACGCAATTATTAAGATTATCAAGCAAATATCTTTTTAGAGATTTCAAAACTTTTTACATTAATTATATAAGTAAAACAAAACATATAATAATTACAGGAATGAGATAATCTGTTTAATGACATAAATTACGAATTAAGATCATCTTTAAAATAGTCTAATAATGGCAAAAATTCCCATTCATGGCAGGTGGAGATGATCCATAAATCGATAGTATCTATATTAGGCAGCAGATCATCGGGTATCGGATTTTATTCATAACATTAACTCCCTGTAAGACATCCAATTAAAAAGAATTATTACAATTAACAAAAATAGATACCCATTTCTATAATATATGATTAAAAAAGGTTTAAAAAATGTAAATCCAATAATTTATAATACATTATGTCACAAGTTATGTCATATGTGATAAGAACCGGAATTCATGTTTAATAATCCAAATTTTTAATTTAATTGACTTCATTTTTCAAATACCTATTTTTTTTTTTAAAAAAATTATTAATTACAAATCATGCAGATCATTTCATTGTAAAAATAGGGGGAGTTTTTTATGATTAGTTTGTCTTTCATTTATACTAAAATTAGTCTGGTCTTTCGGTAAATACCAAAGGCACAAGATTCATCAAGGCTTCTACCGACATGCCGATGCGCTGATTACCGAAATTCCGAAATAATAATATAAATAATGAAGCATGACTCATTGTAACAAAACATTAGATGTAACTTTAATCAGTTACACGGGTTTTATAAACAAATCGGTTATACAAAGCACTATGTTTATCAACTATTAAAAATCAAACTTACAAATTATAAATTTTTTTAAATAATAATAAAAGGTAATAAATAGTAAAAAATTTTATATAAAAATCGAAAAAAAATCTTTCGAATTTTTTTTTACTTTCAAAAAAATAATTGAGAAAAAAAAAAAAAAATCAAACAAATTCAACTATTTAATGATTAATGACCCCTTTGATTCAAAATTTTTTTTTAAATTTCGCTTTTCGCCAATTAATTTCACGTAAAATTAACGTAAAATTGTATATAAAGTTACAAAAAAAAAATTTGATCAAAAAATTCACAAAATTAAAAAATATTTTTAATTAATAAACATTTTTGGACATTTTAAAATGAATTTTTAAGTCAATAATAAAATATATAATTTGTTAATTTCAAATATTGAAAAATTAATTAAAAATATTTACTGTTCCGTCTTCAATAGATGATCGACGAACCGTTTTGAAAAGGTTATTTAGAAATAACAACCTTTTAAACAAAAATCATTTAAAAATTTTCATTCAATTATTATCGTATATTTTATTTCCATTTTATACTCGGACGTTCAGGTAAAATGAACATTTTTAAAAATCATAAAATCATAATATTATAGTATTTTTGATAGTATTTTGATGCGCGTCATGTGTGTCCGAAGACGTAAACGAAAATGGAAATGATGACCCTTTCAAAACAAAACGGAACAATCTTTAAATAAAACAATAAATATTTGAATAATATGAATAATTCTATAATTTATAAGTAATTTGTTTTTATTATAAAATAATTATTATAAACATTATGAGAATATTAGATACAAGTATTATCAAAGTCGAAAGCTTCAAGAAAACATTATTTAAAAAATCCTTTTTTTCGCCATTGTTGAATAAAATTTTAGCTATAATCTGCCTATCTAAACTAAAAAAAGGTTACACAATTGATTTGATTGATTCTCCCTTTTTTGTGTACCCTATAAAAAGGTTTATCCGTGATTTCCGAAACATTTACGAATAAATAACTCAACTTGGATAAATTTCCATGTTTTGAGGTTATAAATTCCGGGAATATGATACATTTACGGAAATAACATGGAATAAAAAAAAACATGGAGTAAATTTTAGATACTTTGTCAATATTTATGAAAATTATAAAAACAATTGTCTCTAACTTTTATTAAACCTATTGTAACAAATATTTGAAAACTAAGAAAATACAAATATAAATTTATAAGATAAATATCTAACTATAGAAATTTGTGAATAAAAGCTTGTATTGTTGTAAAATTGTAGATTTGTATAATAAAAATTAATCATAAGAAATAAAAAATAAAAAAATAAAGTTAACCATAAAAAAAACTTATTCTTATACATAATTATGAAAGGTAAATAGTGATATTCAAAATCCAACTTAATCGGAAAATTGGAAAAGTAAATTATTAAAAGATTCCCCATAATCCATTCCTAAAGGCAATACCAAAGATTCAAAACTTTTATCATCACTAAAACTATCCCCATTATAAAATGAATTTCCGAAAGGGGTATTTGCCTTTTGAGGTCCATTTATTTGAAAAATTAAATTAAGGGTATCATAGTTACGGTATTCATTTATTCTATCCGCAAGTTTGATCAGATAATTTTTTTGTGACGTTTTTAAATGTGACCAAATTTCATTTGTTGTTGAATTAACAGAATCAACATCAATTATATCGCGTTTATTATCTAATAAATACTCCAAACTCGGCTTAAGTAAATCTTTTCCTTCTAAGATTTTACTAATGGTTCCGTTCTTCACTTTATCAACAGTTTCGTTTAATTGGTCATTACTAGGAAAAAAATTATCCATATTGCTACTATTATATATATATGTATGCATATATTTTTTACTGTTTTTTTTTTTTGAGAATGATGGCTGTTCATAACCCCCCATATTTATAACTGTTTTTTTACAATAGGTTATTAAAATAATTATTTAATTATATAATGACCCAATAAATTTTCCATCGTTAATGTCCGTTTAATCGAAGGAAAAAACCGAACAAATATTTATCAATGAATCAATGAATTTGAGATTTGGTAGATAAATAAGGTTAATTATTTTGGGTCATGAGAAATGATTTATAATAAGTATTACAGTATTATGTAGGGGTTTATTGGTTTTTTAAAAATGGGAAGTATATTAGATCGTCAGAACGTGTTTGTGATAATATACACAATATCACATAACTTTATAGAGTGATGTTAGAGTGATTTAATAAGATCGGAGTTTTGTAACAAATTGCAAAAGGAATCTAACCATCGTTCACGAGTCATAATCAGTTATACGCATCATTATTATTGATCATCATAATTCGGACCAAATTAGGAATTAATGTTACTCGATGATTTCGTGTGTTAATTCTGGCCAAAATTATAACTTGGCCGGAATTACTGCTGATCAATTATGATCATGTGCGTATGACTGCGTATGATTGCGTTGGAGTTACTGTAATTTATGAAAATAATGTTTTCAGAGCGCCAAAAAATTTTAATATGCAAGAAAATGATGTAAATTATAAAGAAACAAATGTTGAAATTTTTATAATTATGAATTATCACAATAAAAAATTTTAATTCTAATATAAATCAAATTCGGTCATTTCTACACTAGTCCACGACAATTGAAACTGGGTTACTCATTTGGCGGATAAAAGCGCTCCCGAATTTTATTAATTAGAGAATTGGACGTATCATTACTATATGTTTTATATAATATCCCTATAAGAAATATGCATACGGAAAGGATACGTTTTGTATACATTTTATGTACGTTTCTATAGATTCCGTATACAAATTCCGTATATTTAATAAGAAATTCATTTTTGAACATTTTTTAAAAAAACTAATATATACGGATAAAATTAATCATGCGGAATGTATACGGAATTTTTAAACTTCATATTTTTAGAAGATAATTTTACAAAAATCCCATCATAACACGAGATCACGTGATTGTTTATATGATACGTTTGTAAACCCTTACTTTGATGAGTTTAATCTTCCGATCTTCCTTTCTGTCTTTCCTTTCCTTTCTCTTTTCTCTTGTCTTATTTTTGTTATTTTTTCTAAAATTTTCTTCTTTCTTCGTCACCCCCTTTTTTAAAAAAAAATTTTTTTTTCGTACCTCACTTTAAAAAAGTTTTTTTTTCGTTACTCTCCTTTAAAAGAAATTTTTTGATTTTATTCTTTTATTCCACTCTTCTTTTTTTTAAAAAAAGTTTTCTTCTTTCTATTTCTATTTCCTCTTTATAAAAAATTTTTTATTTTTCTAACTTTGACGTCCTCCCTTTAAAAAAAAAATTTTTTTAACTTTCCTAACTTCGTTATCCCTCTTTTTAAAAAAATATTTTTTTTTGATTTATTCTTTATTCCCCTTTCTTTTTTATTTATATTTATCCCTTTTTTTTTATTTCATAGGCCAGCAGATTTTTTTTTTGTGAGAAGATTCAGTTTTCTTTTTTCTTTTTTGTAGATCAGTTTGGAAGTCCTTTCCTTTTTTGTAGGATGGTATACTCTGATGACAATACATTATTTCCGGATGCCAATAATATTACCTTTATATCATGAATGAAAATATGAGAGAGTTGATCATTGATATAAGATACATTAATAAAAAAAAATCTTACATTGTAGCCTCTTTCAGCCAATATCGTAGCAATGTCTAGTATTGGTTTAACATGACTTCTTCTGCCCATAAAAGAACCAAACAAAATATTTTTAGGTGAGCAATCTACTGTATAACAACTCCTTTAGAAATATCGTTTTGTGCTGCAGTAATGAAATTGACACAAAAGACTAGGTTTAATAGGAAGGGTACCAATAATAATAAAATTGATTTTTTTTTTTAACCATTTTTTTTGATAAATTTACACTCACAAAAAAAATGATTTAACTCTTTATATATAATAATTCGAATTCCGGGGAGTTTATCCAATGGACATTTTCTTATTAAATTCACATGCAAGTTATTTGAATGTATGCATCTTTATTTGACTATTGATTTATTTACGATTGTTATTCCATTTAATTAAACATTTTTAGTTTAAAACCGGTTAATTAACGTGCACCTACTTAATTTATCAAATAAAAGCTTGGTGACACATATTGTTCAAAAAAAAAAATTTAGCTATAGTAATACTAGAATGTATGACCAGTAGATAGCTTTAACCGGTAAACATTTAACCGGTTCCGACCTTGACGAAGATCATGCGCAGTACTATCTGTATATATACCTCGTACACGTTCATATTTATGCTTTTGCGATACTTTTCTTGGATAGGAAATTTCCAACCAATTTGGAACCTCTCTTCAAAATAACTTATTTACACCACTAAAATATTTGTTGGCTGCCAAAGTTAGCATCTTAAAAAGGAAATAACTCAAAAACTAATCTTATGTTAACAAAAAAGTTAACGTTAACGTTAACATAAACGTAATGCTAACCTGTCATTTCATTGCAGAAAGATGACGTTAACGCATCACCTACCCACCCTAAGAGACACACTTTCTTTTGCTAAAAATTATAAAAATTTCAGAAAATCATATGAAAATTAAATAATAATAAAAGAATTATGTGGTCTAACGGTAAGTGGTAATGATTTTTTATTGGCATTAGGTTGATTTCTTTTAGGTTTAGTCAGTTCTGGGATTTTTCTTTTTCAGGATTGGTTCGTTGCTGCGATTACTGCTGCGGCATTATGTTAAATAACTTTGGCGTCAGGGATTAGTAATATTAAGTTATTAATTAATTTTTCTTTCTTTTTCAGTTCTGTCACTTTGGCTGAGAATCAGCTTATTCATTGATCGGCAATTAAATTATACTTAAATTAGTATGATTGAAGTCCTACTTTGTTTAAGTATGTATAAAAAATGCTAATATATTTATAGTTAGAAAATATTTATTATACAATTTCAGCCAATTCAGAATATACTATACGTAAATCATCATCAAATTTTTTCAAATCTTTATATAAACAGCCATTATTCGTAAGAAATTGATTTGCAATGGACATGATTTTGTTATAATGAACTGCAATGCAGTAAAATGCTATAAATGTACAACAGTGCAGTAAAACATAGCACATACAGTATTAAAAAAGGACCCTTCCTTTTTGGAATGCACCATTTAGGATTTAAATTTTTTAAATTGTTAACAAATAAAACTATTTATTAATAATGTCAACTTTTACTAATATCAAAAATTCAAGTGATAACATTAATTGGTTAGAAAAATCAGCAGAGAAGGGTAATGAAGGGTCAATGCACAGTCTTGCCTTACGTTACTACTATGGTGAAGGGATAGAGAAGGACTTGGAAATGACCTTTCACTGGTTTCAGAAAGCAGCAGAGAAGGGTTATGAAAGATCAATGCATGGTCTTGCCTATTGTTATAAAAATGGTGAAGGGACAGAGAAAGACATGGGAATGGCCTTTCACTGGTATCAGAAAGCGGCAGAGAAGGGTTACGAAAGGTCAATGCACAGTCTTGCCTTACATTATGAAAATGGTGAAGGGACAGAGAAGGACTTGGGAATGGCCTTTTACTGGTATCAGAAAGCAGCAGAGAAGGGTTATGAAAGGTCAATGCACTGTCTTGCCTATTGTTATAACAATGGTGAAGGGACAGAGAAGGACTTGGGAATGGCCTTTTACTGGTATCAGAAAGTGGCAGCGAAGGGTAACGAAGAGTCAATGAACAGTCTTGCCTTATGTTACTACAATGGTGAAGGAACAGAGAAGGACTTGGGAATGACCTTTCACTGGTATCAAAAAGCAGCAGAAAAGGGTTATGAAAGATCAATGTACAATCTTGCCTATTGTTATGAAAATGGTGAAGGAACAGAAAAGGACTTGAGAATGGCCTTTTACTGGTATCAAAAAGCGGCAGAGAAGGGTTATGAAGAGTCAATGCATCATTTTGCCTTATGTTACTATAAGGGTGAAGGGACAGAAAAGGACTTGGAAATGACCTTTTACTGGTTTCAGAAAGCAGCGAAGAAGGGCCATGAAAGGTCAATGCATAATCTTGCCTTATGTTACTATAAGGGTGAAGGGACAGAAAAGGACTTGAGAATGGCCTTTCACTGGTATCAAAAAGCAGCAGAAAAGGACCAGAAAATGTCAATACACAGTCTTGCCTCATGTTACTACTATGGTGAAGGGACAGAGAAGGATTTGGAAATGGCCTTTCACTGGTTTCAGAAAGCAGCAGAGAAGGGTCATGAAGGGTCAATGCTTTACCTTGCCTTATGTTATGAAAATGGTGAAGGGATAGAGAAGAATTTGGAAAAAGCCTTTTATTGGTATAAAATGACTCCTGATAATTTTAAAATTAACAACTTATGCAAGAAATGCAACCAACCATATATTGATTTCAAATGGTGCCAACAATGTAATATTAAACAATTTCAGCAAGATTTTTCAAAATGGACTAGTAAAAATAAATTTATTGATAAATTTATTCAAGAAGCACAACTAAATGCTAAAAGTAGTTATGAAGTTTTAGAATGGATACCTTATAATAAATTAAATAATATTAATTATTATGATAAAGGAGGATTTAGTGAAATTTATAGTGCTATCTGGTTAGATGGACCTATTGATAGTTGGAACTTTGATGAACAACAATGGAATAGATGGTCTGATTATGATGTTATTCTTAAAAATCTTAATAATTCATCAAGTTTAAGTGATTAATTTTTAGATGAGGTATAGTATTTTTATTTATTAGATACTAATTGTATATTTTATTTTATCTTATAAATTAATAATTTTAAATATTTACTATATATAGTGGAAACATCATTATAATTGTCAGAAAAAATCATTTTCAAAATTTATTCAATTCTTTGGAATTTCCCAAGATCCAAATAATTTAAATTATATGATAATAATGAGTTATGCAAAAAAAGGAAGTTTGAAAAAATGTTTATCTAATATAGGTAAATTTAAATGGCAAACTAAATTGCAATTATTGAAAAAAATTATTTTAGGACTTAAAGTAATACATGAATCAGAACTTACTCATTGTGATTTTCATGATGGTAATATCTTAATATCAGACGATTATAATGAAATATATATTATTGATTTAGGATTATGCAAACCTATACAAAATTCTGATGATAAAATTGATAGTGTTTATGGAATTATACCTTATATGGCACCTGAAATATTAAGAAACAACCCTTATACTCCAGCAAGTGATATCTATAGTTTTTCAATGATAATGTGGGAATTTACATCAGGTATTCCTCCATTTAATAATAAAGCCCATGATGTTGAACTTATTTTAAGTATTTGTGAAGGAGATCGCCCTGAAATTATAAAAAATACTCCAGAATGTTATATAGATTTGATGAAAAAGTGCTGGGATTCAGATCCTTCCAAAAGACCAAATATAGTAATTATTGAAAATACTATATCTGAATGGCTTAGAAGTATTAATGAATATTATATATTAAATGGTGAAGATGAACCAAGATATGAAGTTCCTAATATTGATAATAAATTAAAAAGTGATATGTATAAATTTATAAAAGCAAATAGAGTTTTAACACAAGAACAAGCTAATATTTCTGTTTCACAAACTCATCCACAAGCATATTATACAAGCCGCTTGCTTACTGAAATTTTATATCAAAATAATTCTGAGTGTTTGGATTGTATTATTTAAATTTAAATATAAAAATTGTTTATTGTTCAAGTAAATTTATTTTTTATTTAAATAAAAGATTAAAAATGGATGCAAATTTGTTTAATAATAAAGTTAATCAAAATATTAAAGAAATAAATTACATAATCTGTAATGATGCAATGATATCAGGATTCCGATTTGTGACAGTTATCAAATTGTATAAAAAAATGAAAACAAAATAAACAATTAGAAAATGTATTTATTAAATATTCCAGATATACATTAAGTATACATTATTAAAATCATAAATAATGAACTTTAACCTTTTTTTACATCAAAATTAATTTAGTCACTTTTTTAGCAAAGATCTAAACATGTGATCAAAAATGACGATCAACCAATTTATACATACTCGCAAACCCGATGTAAAGCAATATGGCAAGCCGTTCAAGTCAAAAGTCCGCTGCTATTGCAGCAGGTACCTGCTAGATTTGCGGCAGGTACCTGCTGAATTTGCAGCAGGTACCTGCTAGAATTGCAGCAGATACCTGCTAGATTTATATGGCAAGCCATTCAAGTCAAAAGTCCGCCGCTATTGCAGCAGGTACCTGTTGCTTTCGCGGCAGGTACCTGCTAGATTTGCAGCAGGTACCTGCTGAATTTGCAGCAGGTACCTGCTGAATTTGCAGCAGGTATCTGCTGGATTCACGGCAGATACCTGCTAGAATTGCGGCAGGTACCTGCTAGATTTGCGGCAGGTACCTGCTGAATTAGCGGCAGGTACCTGCTGAACTTGCAGCAGGTACCTGACAGGTTACAAATATGGTATTTTATTTTTTCTGGGTCAAAAAGATTTTTTTAATTTCCATTTATAGTAATCTACCGAATTATTGGATCCAAGTTAGTTTATTTCTTTTTTCAGAAGTGATCTTCATCTCATAATTC